GGATCTCTGTACATACTTGTCTGTACTTTTTCCGTAGCTTTGATAATGTGACAAATGCAGTGAGCAGAGTTAAGACGTCTTAAAATTAGTTTTTCGGAATACACATAAGCTTTCTTCATAAAGTTTCTCCAACCAAGCCAACCATTGAAAGGTGACAATTGCCTTTTAACATACAAAGTTTTAAGTAATGTGCTCATGTATGTAGTTATGTTTTATGCGTTAGTTAGAAATTAGAACTTTAGTGTTTTCCATTGTGGCGTCAAACTGCTAGTGGATTACAGTATTCAGCTGATTAATAGGTGCTAATACATATTGGTTTCATACGAATTGAAAAAGTGAGGAGTGTTTAAGAGATTGCAGTTTTTCAATATTCGTTTTATTGTGGCTACGCCCCACAGTGGTCTGGGAGCGGCAAAAGCCCACATCTTCGAGGGGATAAGAAAATAAAATTGATAATTTTTGATGACAAGGATTATTAACTAATACATATGTATGTGTCAAGAGTATAGATCTTGAAAATACTGATTTGAATTCGTTTTATAACCATGGCAAGAGTCGTCCACTAAGAGCCTATTCTCACGGCAATAAATAAGTTCGCACATTGGTGGAAAGCATGAGATAAGTTTTAGGTGTTTCATTGAGTTCTGCCGAATTTTTCAGGATGTGTTTTGTTGAAATAAGTGCAAATAAGTTTTGAAATAAGTTTTGAAACAAGTGTTTCTCAGTAGTTTCTTATAGCGTTTTCTTTTCTCGAAATAATGTTGCCTCTCTTCCGCCCTGCGCCAGGGTTGTCAAGTTTTCGCATTCTTTTCTCAGCATCTTGAAGATGCATATTGCGTGCTCTTTCTTTAAAATGTTGCACTCTAATAATGTTGCCATATAACAAGGTGGCATTTTTTTAACGTAAACATAGTCTAACTACTTTCCACCACGGAGCTATTGGGATTACAACGCTAAACCCTGGATAAACTGTTGAAACAAGTTGCAGCTGCTAGAGTCTGCTATCTTCCACAGACTGGACGTTTCACAATGACAGATCCCCATATAAGCTGTTGCGAAAACTATTAATCGTGATGCGATTTTCCTGGAATTTTATATGTAGTACTTTTGTCTAGAAATGACAATTGGTGCAGATTGGTGAACTTCTACACCCGCTACACTAGGAGACAGATACATATGTCTGAAATTATTTGGTTTTAAGGAAAATACAATTTTTTTGTTTGGCAGTAGGCCGATTTCGACCATTTTTTAGATTTAAATCTCTCTGACTAAAATTAAGCTGCAAAACGAATTTCATTAAAATTGTGTAACATTTACCATTTTCGTCCCTAGTGTAGTGGACGTGGCAGTTTGCCAATCTATACGATTTTTCAGATTTCTTCTTTCCTTTTTGCCAAATTTTATATGGGGCTCTTCCAGTGTGCTCCTATCTGATACGTAAATATCCCGTCAGAATTAACAATGTACTTCGGGCATGCTTAAATATGATAGATGTCGTCTGGGTCTAGGTGTGTAGCCGACCATCCAAACCCGTTCTCAATTGAGTTATACTACGTTCAAATTGACGAGCTAAACATGTTAAATGGGCTTAAACCAGTTAAATGAACAAAACATATTCATAAACAAGTTAAATCACATGCAATTGTTGTTGGAAAATTGAACCAGTTAAATCATTTAACTCGTTTGAAAACCAGTTCAGCGCAGAGTTGTATCAGAAAGCTTTCTGCTCCGGCCAATCAGAATGACCCAAAAGCTTTCATTTGACACGCCAACGTTCAAAAAATTTATATTCTGAAAAATAATAAAAATTAAAAATTATCAAAAAATATCAAAATGCATGTATGCATGTCTGCCCGCCAAAAAAGAGGCAAAGGCGGTAAATAGCTATTTCCCATGAGGTCTCATCGTACGCAGAGATAAATAGTGCATAGGAACTAAACATTTTGAAGTCTCTAAGTAATCCGTATGCGTTAATATCATGAAGCAGACATTCGCACAAAACAAATTGAAACACAAAAACTTGATTTTGAATATTTTTTTTCTCGAATTTTTATTGGTAATCAAACAACCGTCAAAGTTAACTCCAAATGTTCAATGTGGACGATTGTGTTTTTTTCAAAAAGCTCTTTTTCATTTAATTTAACAAGTTAAATGGGGCCAATTTGACCGTAATATTAGTGTGCAGTTTTTTTCGGAGTTCTCCTTCCATGATGTGGATAAAGAAGCACGTGCTTCTAGTACAAAGTTGGCCCTTTCCATGTCGCGCTAGGGTGTGTCGTTATGAATATTTGAAGTGCGCAATTGCTATTAAATGCAAGCCTTATCGTCTATCCGAAGGTCGGAATAAATGTAATCTTAAATTTAGTAAAAATTCATTCCGTTTG